AGTCTTCATGTCTTTGTTAGAATCTTATTTGTAAAATTGTGTTATTCATCAATCTGATAATTTTATCACATTTCCTGTCAACATGATTGCTGCATGCATCAGAAGAAAGAGCTAAATACAGTGAAGAGATTGTTTGCAAGCCAATTATGGTTTCATGGTTCTCATGCTTTGCTTGACCCTAAAATACCATTTGATGGTTTGTGTTTGAGCTGTCTTTGCCCAATAAGCAGAGTATTGTATCAGTTAAGGAACCTTTATTTATTGGAGAAAGATACGGGATAAATGAGGAAGATGCTAAACAAGCTTTGAGATATTTCTATGATATGAGTCTCATTTTATATTATCTAGAAGATTAATGTTGTCTTTATTGATTCTAAGCCAATCCTCAGGATTTTCTCATCATTATTAGCTCTCACATACGTTGATGATAGAATCAACCCAGTTTCTCAAGCTGTCGCTAACAATCTCAATGCAGTATTTGTCAATGATGAGCATTTCAAGTCAAAGTCTGTTGTATTTTTCCTGCCAGTGTCCCAGTTGTCTGACATAATCAGACTCCAATACACTACTTCATTCCTTATGCTCTGATGTCGGAATCAACTCAAATGTTCTACACAGCATAAGGACATCATTGTATTTCAAAAAATGTAACAAAAGTTTGAGGTAACTTTGGAGTCATTTTTTGAATAGCCAAGCTATAGCCTTCAATATTATTCAAAATTTTGGTATTTTATTAAAAGGGCCATGACCTAAAAATTGAAGTCTGAATTAGCTCAACTTTCTACACAGCATAAGGACGTCAATGTGTATCAGAAAATGTGATAAAAATTTGGGGTGATTTTAAAGTCATGTTTTGGAGAAAATTCCCAGGCTACAGTAACCTAACAACACTATAAAAGTAGTGAATAAACTTAGTGCTTGTGTTATGAGTTGTTTTTAAAGGGGTGAGCCTTAAGCAAGAAATGATTCCATCTTTATCTCTTTACCAGAATATATAACATCAGTTATTAGTACTGTAATGAGTCTATTGTCCAGTGATTATACAGCCCTTTGCACAAAACTTGCACCAGTCTGATCACGTGACTTGATAAAAATATTAAGTCAAGCCTATGGCTAATCACCACGTGACTGTAACTGGTGGTGGCAAGTTTTGTGCAAAGGGCTGTAAGTATATAAGATATGCACATTTACATTGCACTGCATCAGTCCATGTATGATGTAGATCTAGTAATTGTGTTCTGTTACATTCCTGTATTACCAAATTTTAAAATTCTTGAAAAAAATACTATATCACTGGTAAGCATGTAAATATGGCAAATTTTATTTTGGTCACTAAAAAAGCATGCACAATATGCTTGCATATATACAATGGTAAGATGACGTCATAAAACGTTGGCTCAACTTAGTCTCGCTAGCCAGACTCTAATTTACCGAATAAATCTGGCTAGCGAGACTAGGCTCAACTTTGCTGGAGAAAATGGCGTGGTTGCTAGGATCAAAATGGTGGCCAGTTGTGAGGGTGAAAGTTCTAAACGTGTACCAGTTCCTCCCGTTCATCAGTAGCCTTGACCCGGGGTAGTGGCAGGAGTTAGGGAAGAGGAAACTTGAAGATTATCAGCTAAGAGAGGACCCGGTCCCTATCAGGGGCAGCTATGGGAACTACATTACAGGAACATTAGGACTCCTTTCCTATCCCTGGATTATACTACTTTTGATGTGGGATACCAGCCTACTGGACTAGACTTCCCTTCTCCTGGTCTCCTACAAAACATGAACACAATCGCCTCCTTCAACAACATTGACAAGAAGGAGTTACTTGATACCTGTGGTCGTCTCATTTTGGAGAGTATCATTTAAAAATGGTGATTGCCTCAAAAACCCGTCATTCCTGACGTCATTCCTGTTACTCACGTACGCTGACTTAAAGAAATATAGTTTCAATTATTGGTTCGAATTTCCAGCCCTCTCTCCCTCCAGTCCATTCACTTATAGATCTATTAGTCGTTTGGATGCTCTTTTTAAAAACTCCGACCTCCAGCACTTGGTTTCTCGTTATGACGACTTTCAATTGGAACACAAAAGTGTTGGGTCCTTTCTAGTCGATTAAGAAGGTTCTAAATTAACTTTGAAACTTTTGACGGGTTTTGAAAAGGTTTTTAAAGAAGGGAACGGTAGATTAATGATTGGTTTCTGTGACCCTAGTACTCTTGATTCTAATGCAGGCTGGCCATTGAGGAATTTCTTGTACTTCATTTCACATACTTAATTGGGATAACGTTTTAAAGGAAATGGACATTCTTTGTTACCATGACAATACGAGAAACGGGAAGCATTTGATTGGTAATCTCTGTCTCCTTGTAGAAGACTTATACTGTTGGCTCTACTAATGATGGCCTCAGTTGTCGTATGTTAAAGATTGATAGAATACAATCAGGAGCTGCTGGAAGGAGATGAGAAAGATTATCAACAAAATGAGGTAGAGAGAGAGAGAGAGAGAGAGAAAAGGTTTATTGATAGTGTATGATTATCTGTTAAGGTTCAAGAGACCCTTACAATGTTAGAGAGTGCCAATCAGAACTTCACCACTCGTTATAAAGGAGGACTACAGCAAGTGGCATCAGCTTTTGGGATTGTTGGTAAGTGTTTAAAAAGAGACTTATACAAGCAGTTTAATTACATGTACAGTAATATTAATATGAAAATTTGTAATAGATAATTGACATTAAATTTCATTATTTAAACTGCAACTGTCTAAAAAGACTTTTACAGGAGTACATGTACATGTAACATGTACATGTACAACCCTATGCTGGACTGTATTATACAAGGACTAGTACATGTACACATACATGTATAAAAATACCAATTTTTATATATTTATTTATTACATTGTCATTTATTCTCAATATTAAAAGTTTCTTTACATGAAACTATTATTATAAATTCTTCATTATTTTAGGTTTTATCAGATTTCTTGAAGGCTATTACATTATTCTCGTCACCAAACGAAAACCGTGAGTTATTATCATCACCATGGCAACAGGCTCCACCCCTCCTCCCCCATAGTGTTGCTAATATTGGTGGTCATATATTGTATAAGATTGAAGACACTGCCATGTATTGTCTGTTAGCTCCTACTGGTAGACCAGCTCATCCTGATGAATCAAAATACCTTAAGGAGACAATTATTAGCGTGTACTTATTTTAGCGATTTTCATGAAACTGACATTTGGCTGGTACTTAATTTAGCATTTTTGATCATTTGGTATTAATAACTTCCAGGCTAGAAGAATTAATAGGATGAGCCTAAGCAAGCTATAGATTACGTGCTGTGATCTACATGTATGAGCAAGCAAAGCAATTGTACAAGTTTAAATTCTCTAATACAGTAGATCTTGTTGCATTAATCTTGCTTAAATTGCTTCATCACTGACTCTGCAGCCACATGTAAAGTTATCTTGCTTACAGTTAGAAGCAGTCACTGAATGAAGAAGATTGTCATCTGCTTTGTTAACCTAGGCTAACTGCTAGAGAAGTCTTTGGACAGCAGTTTAGTACTATCTTGCTGACTGTTTGCTGCAAGTAAGCTTAGACTTGCTGACGGCCGCCATTTTATACATTGTGACCACACCCACTTTCAATTAAGAAATTAAAATTAGTGCGGACT